AATAGTACACGGAGAAAAATATTCGAGAAAAATTACAGAACATTTCACGTAATCCGCCAGCGAGAAATTCCTCTTGCTACCTAATCCAAATCCTATCCAACGACTCTTTTGACGTCACAAAGATGTGGAACGCTATACAAATTTCCCGTCTACTATGTAGAGAAAAAATGAAATCTGCGATGGAATAATAAGTTTGTGGATTAAGCAATAGACAGCATCATTGAGATCTTTGAAAAGTTTCGCAAGGTCAACTGAAGATTGAAATAGTCCTTCAACTGATGATGCTTTTCAATGTTATACTGAGAAATTTGAGATAGATCTGGTTCTCGAGCATTGAGTACATTCCATGGAGCTGCAGAGCTGTATAACATCGCTCGTTATTTGATTGGGCGATATTGAAATGGAATTGATCTGCATACTGTATTCGCCTCTTCGTACTCGCAGAAAACCAAGAATGAGTTCCGCGGGCTATCCAGTCGAGGGTCTCAGCTGCGAAATGTAGATAGTGGCATAAGCATTTCATAACAAGATGATTGGGAGTGACATTTCGAAGTACTGTTGTTACTTATCAATGAGCCCCAACTTTAGTATTTGCTCCATCGACTCTCAGACCCAGAGGCTTGTTCTGATCGGCCCTTTTTTCATTTCAGTCATTCGATGAAATGTTGTCACAACTTTTTTTTATACCTGACTGAAGTAATGGATCATAATACATAAAAGTTTTTTGGTATCGATCGTGTTGGATTCATCGATGGTAACAGAAACGAATAAATTTCTCACATCAGTGAGGAGATCTTTTAAAATGCATGGTGATAATACGTTTTTGATCAGTGCTGCGCACTTCGTTCGACATTCAATGACCATAGAGAGATGATCGACAGTTTGTGGAACAGTGTGCTGCTACATAAGTGGCCATTTTTCTCTTTTGAGAAAGAGTAATCTGTGCCAAATTCTCTATTTATGACGCGGTTTGATGAGGTGATCATTTTTGACGCACTGCTTATGCTTGGACGTGTCTGCGTGAGCCATCAAGCTCTTTTTGTCAGCAACAGAGTGGTCTTGCAGAATGCGTCAACAGCTTTCCTTGAATCCCCATTATGTGAAGGTTTTAACCAGCCTATATTGTTTCAAATGAATTCGTTGTTTAATTATAATTGTTATGCAGTACAGTTTGTAATAATTACAAGCATCCTTGCGTATAGCAATTTGGTGCTCAATTTTAAATTATAATTATACTGTTACTAAGCTTTAAAAGGGGGTCTCGTTCCCAGTGACCTGCATATTTTGGCACGTATATTTCTTGATTCAAGTCTTTTGGTATTTCCTCAATATCAATAGGAGAATCGTCGCTAGATTAAATAAATAACGATCAAAATCGTATATGAAAATATTTCGTGAATTACTGTGAATCATCTACTACACACCTGATTGGACGTTACAACCTAACGGACGCTCTAAGGTTATTCTGAACGTGTCTCTGAGAAGGATGACTATCTTTTGGAAGAGCTTGGATATTGACTCTTTTTTGGGAGCTTTTCACTTGACACTTCAATTGCGTCTTTATCTAATTAATAAACCGCTCCAATTATTCAATACCCGTGTCTTTTTTATTCTTTGTTGGATATAACAATATATTTAGGGTTTTTTACGTTAAAATTAAATATCTTAAGGGTCAACTTATATAGTTCATCTGGACACTCTTCAAGGGAGGAAGAAAATCTCTTGGATTAGAAATTTTTTAGCCATAAGTCTTGAAATTAGTCTCTTAAGTATCCGTAGAACAATCTATCTCTTGATTGCAATCTATCTCTTGAAAGATTGAAATTCAAAATACAAATCGAAACGTTTTTTTTTCGCGCAATTTTTTCCAAGTTTTTTGGATGATTTGGAACTTAGGAAATTTCGAAAATGTAAATCTCAGTGTGCCATTCAAATTCTCGAATGTCCTATCGAGATAGATGTTAGAACATCCAATCGGTCATTGAACAACAAAGAGTGGAGAATTTTTCATGGTCCAAGCTTTCACTATATAAAATTTAAATTTATTTACATAACTTAAATTATATTTACAGAAATAAAATTATGTTTACATCATTATTAACATGAGAAAACGTGTGGAGCTGGGGTTCAATGAAAAGGTGTTTTCCTTGAGAAAAAATTGTATAAGAAACAATTTTGATATTTGAGAATAAGCTGCGGATATTTTTAACTAGCTGAAAGTAGTCATGACATGTTTCTTCCAATGCAAAGGAGAAAAATTTTAGAAAAACGTAGAGCGGGTGACACGTGCTCCCATGAATAAATTGCAGATCACAATTATAAGAATTATAATTATAAGAACGCATTCTTATTTTTATTAATATGTATGAATAAATACTCCCTTCTGTCCAATTCATTCACATTTCATCATTGATACAGGCAGCCATAAATTCTCGAAAACGTGACCGTTCCGTAAACGTGGCCCGACGTGTTGTTTCGTAAAAAATTACGGAACTTACTTCAACTTTTACTTCAGGTGGATGTAATTTTTCCTTGACATTACAGAAAAATAGAGTCACGTAAAAATGACACTTCCCCTCATGTTTACAGTATAATCACGAAATTGGTAGTGATTTTCATCGCGGTGTAATGAATTAGGTCACTTCGTTAGAACATTCATCATCAACATCAAAATTTAGTTTTCATCCATCAATTTACAAAGATAATACATCGGGGAAAGAACATCACATTACTTACTGTTGCGAGGGAAATATATACAACTAATTTCAGAATGCAACGAAAGCGATTGTATCAATACATAATATCTCCTCCACTGTATTGCCGCGGTAGTAAATTTGATGTTAGATTTTTCAAACTAAGAATACTGGGTGTCCATTCCAAGAAAGATTTTTATAAAACACCATACAAACAAATAAAAACACAAGTGACCTTCTTATGCCCATAATTTACGCGATTGGATATGTAATAAATTAGATTTTTGCAATTTTATTATCAGTTTTATTTTACTTCATACACGACCAGTAATGTTATGTTTATTCTAATCAATGTGCCAACTAGCGGTAAGTAATAAAATTCAACTCAAATTTTGAGTTTAAAACGGGAGTTTGGTATTTTTTCAATTTTTTAAAATGAATGTACAAATATTAAGATTATCCTGTGAAAATTTGATGTCGATTACAATAAATATAACGGGAATTGAGGAGTGGCAAAAATGGATACCTCTCGAGTCATGGCAGAAGATTTCGAAAAACATTGAATGGAGGATTTTTTGCTTGTTTTAAAAATCATTGACACTTTCAAACTTTCAATTTTTCTTACACTTGGCTTTTTCGGAGTCGGTACCCACTGTAGCGTTAAATCTACAGCACCAATCCTCTTGAAAATTGCCTCACTTTTTACATGAAAAATATGAAAAAAGTAATCATGTCGATTTTTTTAAATATTTCAACGTATGCTAAAATAGCGAAAATTTCAATGAATTCAGTATTACAAAAAAGGGAAAAATCAAACAAATGGAAACTCAATGTCATTGCCTCCAAAAAATTTTTAAATGAAAAAATGATTTTTGTTTCTTCATTTTAGATGATCCCGTGATGATGAATTATGAGGGACACCGGAATTCAGCTTTTTTTTAGATATCTACGAAGAATCGTTGTGAAAATTTCAAGGAGTATTCTTAATATTTATTAGATGTGCTGTTAACAAAAAATATGGAAAATATGGCGTTTTTGTTGCGAATCAACCGGACTCACCATTTAAATATCGAGTGAATACGCATTTACAGGTTATTAATTCCCATTGGCAATATTACCACTCCATCGATGGCAAAGAATTAATGAAGGAATGAGCAGTTTCTACGTAAAGATTTCGAGCTCATCAGAGAAATAAAAATATCAATACCAAAGAAATTACGGCCCACGTATACTATATCGAACAATTTTTAGTGTGAAACATATCATGTTAGTGTTAAATATTTATAAATTTGGGTTTGATACTATGTTGCGGAAACCGCTTCCGTGGTTATAAAAAAAATAATTATAAAAGTGGTCGATCGCGATATTGATCCCAACAGATCCGAAAAGTTTAGAAGAAAAATTCAAAAATACGCAGTTTACCAGCCACTATAATGGAGAAAAAAATATATTTTACAGTCAATAACAGTATAAAATGGAAATAAACTGCCACATGTTACTTTTCCGTAAATTTATCAGATTCCTTAGAATCAAAATCTCGATCTGCCCTCCTTCCATAATGTATCAACTTTCTTATCGCAATTTTTCAATAAGATATTCTCCACTATTTTTTAATAACAATTTATTAAAAATTCGCACATAGATCAGATGTCTCATCATCAATAAAAAATCAATCGATTTTTTAAGTGACGTTTACCGTTTTATTATTATCGACTTGGACATGATCTTGAAGTATGTATAAATAAAAAGCAACGGGCATTGCTTTCACTACTCAGTATATATCCTTGGAGGTCGAAGAAGAACCGTTCACTAAAGTCCGCCCATTTGCTCTCATTCTCAGGGATCAGCAATAACCCATATAATATATGATCTTATTTTTAAAAAATGAAAAAGTGTCCTATTTCTTAGAATATTTTGGGAGGGAGAGAAAGACAGAAGATCATAATTCATAGGAAACGGCCGATGGAAAAGTCAACTGATTAATGTGTATGACCACTGTGGCTGGACGTGCTAACTAGTGAAGATTAAAACATTCGATACAATTGCACATCATTTATATTACTTGATGCATACAGTAAATTTTTGAAAAACGTCATTCCGAATGACATATTCAGCATTGGGCTTTTTTGTGGAGAATTTATTCTTTCTAGAACCGATATTTTCCAATGCAAAATCAAGCCTTCAAAGGAGCTACCTTCTTATGCATTTTCCTTCTGGGATCAGTCATAACAAACAGCTGTTCTTTTAATAATTTTCCCCGAATCAACCTGACAAACCGATAAAAGAAAAAATAAACAGATTACGTACCGAGAAAATTGATCCAACAAATCGTGAAAATAATCAAAAAAACGTTGACGTTCATCGCACAATGAAACACCTCGTAATCTCACTGATTAACCATTAATATCGATTCATCGTTAACTCAAATCTCCACTGCAATCTCTCTCAAATATGATAATCAATAATGACAATCCTACATCAATCCATTAATAAAGTCTCAAGTCTATCACTAGTTTATCACTCTATAAAGATTTGAAATTTGAAATACTATCTTTTAAAAAATATATCCACACTAATTTTGATAACAATCCTATTATTCCATTATCAGTATTGTGTTTAGGGATGCAGATCCCTGTTCACAATTTTATATAAATGAAATTTTATTCAATGTGACGTTATGATGAAAGTACTGAGCATTGTTCATGATACATCTTCATCTATTGGCAGTAGTATTTAATAGATACGATCTATATTGTTTATTTAATTCTTGCATACACTGGCACTGGCACTGGACACATTAACTTGTCTTTTAATCCTACCGAGCTGAAGAGAGAGTTGCGAGTAATGAAAAAGCCTGGAACGTAAGTGCTGCCTCGTGGCCTACTATAACAGAACTGACTCCCACCGCAACTCCTCAACGTGACTTTACCTGTAGCTCTTACCTTCGCCTGATGGTGTCTATCTTGGTGAACGGTGCATCAGTGTGATTTCTATAGAATCAAACACCGGATGTTTCCTCAAGCATCTAGTATTACTGGAACACAATGTACATAGGAAGAGCATTAACTAATTCCGGAATGAATAAGATTAGATTAGATGTAATATTCCAATTTCAGTAGACTTTCGGTCTTGACTCTATAATGCATAAATGAATAATGCAACGAATAACAGTAAATTGTAGTTGTAGTTTTCCAAAGTAAGAAGAGTTATCGAAGTTGCAATGATCTGTGTCGTAAAAATGATTATTTTATACATTATGCCATGTTTCTTAAATCCATAAATATTCATGAAAAATTTATCGATTTCGAAAATCGTGACTCATTTTATGACATTTTCTTTTGAAATTTCGATTTTTAATTATATTTGTATAAAGACATTACTGCAAAAATATTGATCATTTCTAAAGTGATGATTTTCAATTTTTAAGCAGAAATTATACGATTTCGGCCGATCGGAGACTCTTTTTTTTTATTCAAATGCTTCGCTCATTACCTACTATTATTACTACTATTGCCCCATGAAGAATCAGCAAAATCTAAATTTCAAAATTTTATTTGTGTTTGTTTTTTTTTCGGAGAATGCCCCCGGCGTACATATAATTAATATGCTCGGAAAAAGAAGGCCAGTAAAAATTACCCTCAAAAACACGTTAGATTTACAAAATGTTACATACACATTGGTGGACATAAAAATTTATGAAATCCATATCAGATTTTATAATTTCAAAAAAAATTATACATAACTTTGCCGCACTTGTTCAGTGACAGACCCAAAAATTCACTGAGGGCTTCAGATTTTTTCCTCATATATTTCTATAGAAATTCATCTAAAATCCCCGAGTGGAAATCAGATCGGGTCAATTTGAAGATCGATCAGCACTTGATTCAGTTTCATTCCAGTTCTCCTGATCAAGTAAGATTTGATCAGATCATCCCAAAAACTATAAGTGAGTTTAGATCAAGTTCTAATCGGGTAGGTCTGATCAGATGCCACCTGATGAAAGTTTGATCAAGTTTTGATCCAGTGGATTGCATCTTATAAACTACAGGTGACTTCACATCAAGTTCTGGCCAGACAGGCCTGATCAAATGATACCTGATGAAATCCTGCCCAAGTTTTGATCTAGCAGATCTAATTCTGAAAAATACCAACGGGGTCAAGTTAATTTCTGGTCAGATAAACATGATCTCACACCGAGGTCAAGCTGCCTCAACTCAATTTGATCTGGTTGACATTCAATTACCTTAATTTTGATTTTAATGGCTGGATATAAAAAATGATTAAGCGATGCGATTCACTTGATGTTTATTTGATCAACACTTACCTGAGAATCAATTTTTTTCTATCAATTGTTAATCTCGTGACAAAACATATCCATTCAAATTACAGGAAGCAAGAGAAATACATGTAGTGAAGTATCAAGCATAAGAGCGCATTATCTTGAGTGAAAAAGAAATCATCTAGCTTACATCTGGTGTTACGCTTATTAAAATTATTGCTTCCGAATAGAAGCACTGCAATCATCCAATCCTGACCAAAAAAAATCTCATTTCGCTTGAAATTGATACATAACGCTCTGAAATGTAACAATAGAAAATTTTTAGAAAATGTCTGTGCATGAAACCCTCAGTACAGCGGTGATTTTTTATTTAAGAAAAGATATAGGTGGGTAAAAAGATTCTCAAAAATTTGAAATTTTCTCAAATAGTAGGTAAGAGTTAAGGCCAACTTTGAACCCAGATTGAGCTTGATCGGTCAAGCCGCTTCGTGATTTGTTTATCTATCGTTCTTTCTAATATTTTCAAAACTAAGCAACATTTTCGTCGTGAATCGTTGTAGTAGAATTGATGGAAAATTGGAACGTGAACCTTGGAAGAAGTCATATAAGTCATATATTGTCACTTTTGTGTTTAAAAAAATCGGTGTTTGCCCTCTCTAACCTGCAAAAATCAAGTTATTAACTTAAAATCCGAACGAGATTAACCTTCTATCACTACAGCAGATGGTATCGAAAATGAGCATAATTGAACAATAAGTTTCGGAGATATCCAATTCTTAGTGTCATAAAATGATTACGTGGAAATAGAATTGAGGATCGAATTCGTTTTTCTTATCTGAAAATTTCAATCTAATTAATTCTCAGTAAATACAACATTCAACATTCTCAATACATCTAACGTAATAAAGAAAATACATAGTAAAAACCATTCAGAAGCTCGTCATCAATTTATTGATGGCAAAAAAATATACCCATACATTTCAATAACTCATCTACAGTCCTATAACTGCTGTCACCTGCGTATTTTTTAATAATGAAATAAAATTTAAGCCGCATATGTTATCAGACTCAGAATGTACATCTGCGCAGAATAAATCTGCTGGATCGCAAATGATTTCGAAGTCAGGAAAATTCCCCCTTACATATTGCATAGGTAAGAAGAATTATTACTCAACAAGTGCGGTAGTCTAGTGGTTACAGATTCAACTTCCGCCCACCTTAAATTCTCAAATACTGAAGAACGAGGGGCGGGGGTCGAAGGATAGGTGATGAACAAAAAGTTCTTTCCCCCCTCTCCCTTTTGTTTTTTTTTTCTATAGGTGATCAAAAATTATTGAAATAAGGCACATAGTGATCAACTGGAATTACATTAATACATATCCATTATCATGATAAAAGAGGTGAATGATTTTTTTCAGTGTCATTCTTTTATTCATCTTCTTATATATAGGTCGATGGATCGATTGATCATTTCTATGACTACGAGGATATTATTAGAGGTAGATATTATAGAGGTAGAGCTTTAATAATTGGTGGAAAACACCCCCCGTTGGGGGGGGGGGGGGGGAATATATAAATATACAAATGTAATCTGTTATATTGCAATATAAATCTTCCCAATAACCGTTTCTTTCTTTTTTTTCGCAACAACGATTATGCCTTCTTTAACCAGCATTACAGCGAACGAATATTCTTTTTTGTGGCACAAATAATTCTACAATAAATACAAGAGGCAAAAGAAAAATTTCCTTAAAAACTCATGAAGTAAAGATAGAATACTCAATATGAAAACCACAATACTATAAGAACTTGAGAGCCACTACATACTATATGGTTTAATATATCCAAATATATAAGAACTATTGCTTTTTAAGCTAGTTTTTTAAGGTTGTATATAAAATAAATACTTACGGTTAAATTAAAAAAAAACTTAGTAAAAGAAAGTGTAATCCGGTAGTTTGGGCATAGATTTAGTAATCTTAGGGTCCGTGGTTCCATCCCTGGCATCGTCAAAAATAATAGGGTTTTTCATTGATAATGACAATCGGGATCCATTACAAAAGCAGTCTTATGTAATGGAACTTACATAGTGGAAACATAATGGAAATTATATTATAGAAGTTAATTATCTTTTGTTTTAAGTGAGATATGGGTGATATTTATTATTATTTTGATAGTACGGCACCGTTAGACCAGATCAGAAAAGTTTGATCAAGTCTTGATTCAGGTATTTCAGACGAGGAGGAAGTGTCGGAGGTGAGGCGGAGGGAAATCTGCAGTATTCCTGCAGAAAATCAATTGGTAAATGTTTAGTTCAGGTTTTTTGGCTTTTTATCTCCTGATTAAGGATCTGGTCATCCTTTCCTCCGGAAATAAATAGTGTAAGAAATATCACCGCTCTCTGACTTATCCACGACGAGGACCTGGCGGTGTGTCAGCCGCAAAGACAACACATGTGGATACATTAATCGACAATGGACACGACAGATAGATGGAATTTCCAATCGGTCATGAGCACAATCACAAAAACTCTGAATTTGACCTCACCCGACCACCTACAGTCACTGGCTGGACACGGCGAGTGATATTTGCGTCGCCACCCTTCTATAGCAATTCAAAATATATTTATTATGTGGATATCTCTCTCACTCATCGTCAACAGCGACAAGGAGAGATCAAGGAAAGGGGACAGGTCAAAGAATTTCAGGGACACAAGGGCTTACCTCAAGACCGTTATTCGATGTATATATCTCCTTGTTGTTTCTATCTCTTTTTCCAGGGGACTTGAATGGGTTATTCATAACAGAAATGATAATTTTAAGGATTATTGTTTTTGGCGGACCTGAACCTCAAACAGCGGCGTATTAACAGTGTATTAACGTATCTCGTATTAACATATCGGAGTATTAACAGAGCTCCTACACTAATTGTTTCTGATGGAAAAGGTGACCAGATCCTTCATCAGGAGATGGGAAGCCAAAAAAGAATGATAGAATGGTGTGGCGGACCTGAACTAGACATTTATCGATTTTTTTTCAAATACTTCTTAGAGAATAATTTAAATTAATAAAATGGCAGGAAAAATTGCGTTTTTTCAATATCTTTCTAACTCGCTCGAAATATCTTAATAAAACCTAAATTTGCGTTACATGTCTGCTCAGGATTTGATTCTGTTACCATGTCATTCCCGGATCAATCATCAAGTTCGACATGATCCAGTCTTGACTAGAACCTGACCAAAATTTTCACTCGGGTCATTCTCGCTTGCGGATCACCTGACATGTTCTTAAATGTTTCTCTCCTGTACCTAAAAATAAGTTCACTTCAGTGATTATCTCAAAATTATAATCTGTAGTCTAAGTTCTTAACCAAAGTGAAACCCATTAACATCAATAATAGTAACCAAATATGCTCAATTTTAGTGCGGGATATATACACGATCGAAGCAAAAATTACTATTGTAAAAACAATCAAGGTTTTCTGTAAGAGAGTTACGACTTTGTAATTTCGCGCCACTTCAGGTGGACCAATAAGGAATTGTGGCTTCATGATTTCGAGATTTTCGAGATAATCGATTGTGTGAAGCGTGTCCCTTTTA